GGGTGGGGGAAGGGATGAGATAGGAGAAAATTTGGAACTCAAAATCTTATGGAAGAAAATCATGGGAAAAAGTCAACAGCTTGGCAAAGGAAGCACAAAAAATACTGAAGAAAAATAACACCTTAAAAACCAGAATAGGCCAAATTGTAAAAGAGGCACAAAAAAAGCCACTGAAAGGCAGCTGGCACAGTGGATAGAGCACCAGCCCTGGATTCAGGAGGACCTGAGTTCAAATCTGGCCTTAGACACATAACACTCACTAGCTGTGTGACCCTGGGCAAGTCACTTAACCCTATTGCCTAGCCAAAATAAAAAAAAAAGCCACTGAAAAGAAGAACTCTTTAAAAAGCAAAATTGAAAGATGTAGAAATATACTTAGAAAGATGTAGAAAAATTCACTGAAGAAAAGAACTCCTTAAAAGCTAGAATTGGCCAAATGGGAAAAAAAAAAGGTAGAAAAGCTCACAGAAGAAAATAATTCCTAAAAAACTATATGGGCAAGTGGGAGCCAATGACTCCATGAGACATTAAGAAACAATAAAACAAAACAAAAAAATAGAAAAATAGAAAATGTGAAATATCCCTTCAGAAAAACAACTGCCCTGGAAAATAGATCCAGGAGAGATCATTTAAGAATTACTGGACTACCTGAAAGCCATAATAATAACAAAAAAGAACCTAGACATTATCTTTCTTTTTAAAATTTAATATTTTATTTTCTTCCCAATTTCATGTAAAAACAATTTTTAACATTCATTTAAAAGTGTTTGAGTTCCAAATTCTCTTCTTCCCCTCTCCCCCACATTGAGAAGAAAAAGTATGTGATATAGATTATACATGGGCAGTCATGTGAACCATATTTCCATGTTAGTCATGTTGTGAAGGAGAACAGCCAAAAAAAGAAAAAAAAAGGAACAAGAAAAATAAAGAAAATAAAGAAAAAATAAACTTTGATCTGCATTCATACTCCATCAGTTCATTCTCTGGAGGTAGACAGCATTTTTCATAAGTCCTTCAGAATTGTCTGGGATCACTGTATTGCTAAGAAAAACTAAATCATTCACATAGATATCATCTTTCGAGAAATTATCAAGGAAAACTGCTCTGATACTTTAAAATCAGAGGGTAAAATAGAAATTGAAACAAACTGATCACCTCTTAAAAGAGATCCCCAAATGAAAACTCCTGGTAATATTATACCCAAATACCAGAACTCCCAGGTCAAGGAGAAAATATTGCAAGCAGGCAAAAAGAAATAATATAAATACCATGGAGCCACATTCAGGATAACAAGATTTAGCAGCTTCTACATTTAAGGAGAAGAGGCCTTGAAATATGATACACTGGAGGGCAAAGGAGCTAGGATTACAACCAAGAATCACCTACCCAGAAAAACTGAGTATAATCTTTCAAGGGAAAAAAATAGATATTCAATGAAATAGAGGACTTTTAAGCATTCCTAATGAAAAGACCAGAGCTGAATAGAAAATTTGACTTTCAAATACAAAACTCAAGAGAAGCATTAGGAAAGAGAAATCATAAGGGATTTAGTAATGTTTACATTCCTGTGTGGGAAGACGATACTTGTAAATCTTAAGAACTTTATCATTATTAGGTCACTTAGAAGGATTATACATAGAGGTCATGGGTGTGAGTTGAATATAATGGAATGATATTAAAAATAAAATTAATGGTGAGAAAGAGGGATGCACTAGGAGAAAGAGGAAGAGAGAGATAGAATGGGGTAAATTATCTCACATAAAAGTTATCTCACATAAAATTATCTCACATAAAATATCAAAGAAGAGGTGTGAAGGAGTTTTACAGTAAAGAGGAAGATGGGAGAAGTTGGAGAAGAGAGTACTTGAACTTTACTCTCATTGGAATTATCTCACAGACAGAATAATATACACACTCAGTTGGGTATATCTATCTTACCCTTCAGGAAAGTAGGAGAGGAGGGAGATAAGAGAAGGGGGAGGGGAATGATAGAAAAGAAGGTGAATTGAGAAAGGTGGTAGTGAGAAACAAAACACTTCTGAGGATGGACAAGGTAAAAGGAGAGAGTAGGATAACCTTGGGGAATAATAGATGGAGGCAAATACATAGTAATCATAACAGTGAAAAAAATTTTTAGTTTCTCTGATAAAGGCCTCATTTCTCAAATATATAGAGAACTGAGTCAAATTTTTAATAATACAAGTCATTCCCCATTTGATAAATGGTCAAAGGATTATGAACAAGGAGCTTTCAGATGGAGTGATCAAAGCTATCTATAGTCATATGAAAAATGCTCTAAATCACTATTGATCAGAGAAATGCAAATTAAAATAATGCTGAGGTACCACCCAACACCTATCAGATTGACTAATATGACAGATAAGGGAAATGACAAATGTTAGAAGGGATGTGGGAAAACTGGGACACTAATGCATTGTTGGTGGAGTTGTGAACTAATTCAACAATTCTATAGAGCAATTTGGATCTATGCCCAAAGAGTTATAAGACTGTGCATACCCTTTGGCCCAGAAATACCACTACTAGGTCTGTATCCCAAAGAAGATAAAAAACAAAAAAGAAAAAGATCTATATATACAAAAATATTTATAGCAGCTCCTTTTGTGGTGACAGAGAATTGGAAATTGAGGGGATGCCCAACAATTGGGGAATGGGTGAACATGTTGTGGGATATGATTGTGATGGAATACTATTGTGCAATAAGAAAGGACGAGCTGTATAGTCTCAGAAAAAACTGGAAAGACTTACAGGAACTGATTCAAAGTGAAGTGAGTGGAACCAGGAGAACATTGTATACAGTAACAGCAATATTTTTTTAATCTCTTGCTTTATTTCTTTTTTTTTAATAGTACTTTATTTTTTTCCAATTACATGCAAAGAAAGTTTTCAATATTCACTTTTACAAGCTAACAGCAATATTTTACAATGATCAACTGTGAATGACTTAGCTATTCTCAGCAATACAATGATCCAAGACAGTTCTGAAGGATTTATGATAAAAAATGCTGTCTACCTCCAGAGAAAGAACTCATGGAGTCTGATTGCAGATTAAAGCATACTTAAAAAAAAAAAGACTTTATTTTTCTTGGATTTTTTTTGTTTGTATTTTTGTTCACATGATTAATATGGGAATATATTTTGCATGACTGCATATGTATAACCTATATCAAATTGCTTGCCTTATTAAGGAGAGAGGAGAGAAGGGAGGGAGAGAATTTAGAACTTAAAATTTAAAAAAAAAGAACGTTAAAAATTGTTTTCATATGTAATTGAGAACAAATAAAATATGAAATAAAAAAAGAAACACCGGATATACCAAAATCCCTAACAAGAAGATCCTAAAGGTATCTAAGAAGTATCTAGCCCAGTCTCCTAACTTCAAAAATTGCCCTCCCTTCTGTTGGGAGACCACCTCAGGTTGGAGGTCTTGGTTTCTGCCCTGGGCATGGAGTTGGCAATAACACAAAAAATCCCAATTCAACAAACTTTTATGAAGGGGCACCTGTGTGTCAGGCATTGTGCTAAGTGATAGGGACACAAAGGGGTAAAAAAGTTCCTGCCCTCAAGAAGCTTCCATTCTAGTGGAATGGTGCCAGAGCAAAAGAAGGAGTGGATCTTCCCAGGCTATGTATAGAAACACTGCGCAGCTCTATTTGCCTTCAGCACCATGTTGCTTTGACATGACTTTCCAGGACAAGGACACCTTTGAATTTAAAGACAATGCCAACTCACTAGGCTTTCTTTACTTTAGAAATGGATTCCCTCCAGCATTTCCCTAAAAGGAATCCCTTCTAGTGCATGTAAAATAGGGTTGGATTTAGGCACCGTTTTTTCAGTAATTCTTGAACTGTGTCCACCAAGGTCTTAGGTCCCTGAGATTGAACACAGCAGTGTGGTGTAGCAGAAGGAGCCTAAGGACTGGAATTAGAGGGCTTGGGTTCAAACACATCTTATTTACTACATGACCTTAAGCAAGTCACTTCCGTTCTTTGGCCTTCAGTTTCCTCTTCTATAAAATTAGCGGCTTAGGTCTGGGGATGTCCGACGTCCCTTTGAACTTGTACATCTGTGCTTGGTGAGACTACGGAGGAATTCCCAACAGTCGTTTTAAAAAGTTTTTTAAACATTTTTTTTAAAAAGTTTTGAGTTTCAAATTCTCTTCCTCCTGCTCCCTGGGATGGTAAGCAATCAGATATAGGTTATACATGTGCAATTATGTAAAACACCTCCATATTAGCCATTTTGTATAAGAAAACTCGAATAAAAGAAAAACATTGAAAGAAAGTGAAAAATAGCCTGCTTCAGTCCATATTCAGTCAATTATCAGCTCTTTCTCTGGAGGCAGATAGCTTGCTTCATCAGGAGTCCTTCAGGATTGTCTTAGATCACCGAGCAGAGGCGGCGGCTTCGGGAAATCAACACCCTGTTATTAAATAACTTCTAGTAACGGTAAATTCAATTCAACAAAAATTTAAGCACTTACTGTGCTCAGGGTAAAGCAAGAGTTCCTGCCCTCGAGGAGGTTCCATTTTTATCTCAGGAGGGGCATAACGCAGAAGTAGGACTCAAAGCTCTGGGGAGATCAGAAAAGGCTTTGTGTAGCAAGCTTTCTGCTTTGAGTCCTGCCCTGAGCCGGGCCTAGAAGGAAGCTAGGGACTGTGAGAGAAGGTGAGCAGGGAATACAACCCGGAATAGAATCCGGCCAATGTACGGGAGGTGGAGATGAAAGGTCCTGATAGCGAATAGCCAGAATGAATTCCGAAGGATGCATGGGATTTCTACTCCTATATCTGAAGGGAGAGAGCTAGGAACCCTTGGCTGTAGGATGCTGCAGAAGCAGGGCTTGCAATGACCTCTCTTTCATTGAGAAAGTGTTAGCCACTTTCCTTTGAGAGTGAGAAAAACCCAAGCGACCAGCCCTGCAGGGATCCTGCAGATGGAGGACAGTGGCATTACCACCTGCCATCAGAGCCCACAGCTCCTCAGCAGTAAGTAGTGTTGGAATGGCCCACAGTGCCATTCTCCTGGGCAGACACTGCTCCTATGTCAGTGGAATCAGGCTCCGGATTCTGGGGCCTGGGGAAAGTCAAGTCAACAAGCATTTATTAAGCACCTACCACATGCCAGGCACCAGGATACAAAGAGAGGCAAAAATGGTCTCTGCCCTCAAGGAGGTCACAGTCAAATACAGAAAACAACACACAACACAGGGACCCCAGGGCCATTAGGAGGATCGAGGACCTGGGCTCTGGCAGTACTTGATGATGGTGGGGAAATACCAGCTGTAGGGCTAGGGGTGAGGAAATTATGGGGAAAAGAAGTGTCCTTCTGAACAGACTAGCTTCCCCTCATTCTCTCCTCCAGACCACACCCACAATCCCCTCATTTTGTTCCCTCCTCCTCACCCCCCTCCCAGGGTCTTCACCCAGGCCCGACCAGGTAGGGCAGTGACCCTCCACAGGTCCCTCCTATTCCCTCAACACCTTCTCTCCAAGTTGAAAATATTCTGGTGATCTCATCCATGCTGAGGTATTACTAGCTAAAAAGACTTCCCTGTAACCTCATCCCCAAGGATGCATTCTAATTGTGGCATTCCAGGCAATATGACAGGCCAGGGAGACTTTCCCCAGAGGGGAATGCCCTTTGTGGGGCATTGGCTCTAGGACTCGGGGGAGAACTTGCCCTTTGCGGGGGGTGTTGGCTCCAGAAACCAGGGGAAACACTCACCCTTTGGGGGGTGTTGGCTCCAGGTCAGCTATATTGTCCTTTAGGGGATTCCCTTTAGTTTCAGGAAGCATCACACAGAGGATCCCAACCAGGACTGGTAAGGTTCCATAGATGGCCATGGGGATGGAGGCATGGTACTCCTCCAGGAGGGTCACCAGGGGCGTGAGGATGCCTGCGATCCGGGAGAAGATGGCCACCAGCCCCATTCCTGTCTGCCTAAGGAGACAGAAGGCACAAAGCATGGGCGCCATGGGAAGCAGCTAGGGATAGCAACCAAGGCCTGACTGAGCTCTGGGCTCTGAGAGGCAGTGATGTGCTACACAGAACCCTGTATTTGGAATTAGGGAGACGTGGATTCAAATCCCTTCTTGGACACTGGATAGCTGTGTGACCCTAAGCAAGTCATTGAAATTCTCTGAGCCTCAGTTTCTCCATTTGTGACATGGGGACAATGATAGAGTTCCATACCTACCCCACAGGGTTGGGAGAGTCAAATGTTACATAGGTTCTGGGATGTAGGACCTGGGCTCTGGCATTACCTGATGACAGTGGGGAAAAGCTCTGCTGAGTACACGTAGGAGATGGTGAACGCTGCGGCTGTGGTAAACTTCCCTACCACAGCCAGCACTGTGGTGATGGTAGGATAATCTGGCACACAGGGAGAAGAGACAGTCAGTGGATGATGGAAGCTGGGGTGTGTGCGTGCGTGTGTGTGTGTGTGTGTGTGTGTGTGTGTGTGTGTGTGTGTGTGTGTATGTTAGGACAAGGATGGGCCTGGCCCATTCCCAAGTAGGAAAGAGGACAAAGTTTGTCCTTCAAAGACCTGGCTACTACTACCTCCCCCAGGCTTTCCCCTACCCACCTCCCATCTATGGTTCTCCCTTCTGACAGCAAGTGGCCTATGACCTCTCACTCTCAAACTCAGCAGCTGCTCCAGGATCTGAGTCCCATTGAAGTGTTCATAGCTAAAGGGGCTCTGTGTGTCCTTCCTTTTGCAGAATATCTGCTTTCAATGCTGTATCCCAAAAGAATGACCCATTAATGGTGGAATTTCAGGCATAGAGATGGGATGGAGTAGGCCTGGCCTCCAGGGAATGGACCTGTCCAGCTCTGGGGAGCAAGTGCTTTCTCTGAGTGTCTCCTGGAGTTGGTTTTTTTCTTCCTCTTAGCCATGGCCACTTTGAGGGTCAACGCTTTGTATTTTGGGTCTGTGCCTCAAAGGCCCTGTGGGCCAACCTTGCACATAGACAGCCCTCCCAAAGGCTCCGTACTTGAGGGTATGAAGATGATGATGAGGCACATGAGTCCACCCGTGATCAGCATCCCCATCAGGCTCTTCCTCCTGCCAAACTTCTGCGAAATGAAGATGCTGGCCAGGCGTGAAGGCACCTCCACAGCCCCGAAGATCAGCTGTGTCAGGTAGATGTCCACACCAAAGTCTCCCACACTGAAGCTCAGGCCGTAGTAGCCGAGGCTGTCCACGAACCTGTCAGCAAGATAGCCTCAGTTACTGTGAGGCCAGGGCCATTACCCTCCCCACACAGAGAGGATGTGGCCTCCAACCTCCCGAGGGCAGGAACACCATTCCCCTAAGAACACACTCCTGAAACAGAGCCACCGTGCTGCTCCCAAACCCACGGCATCATCCCTCTTGTTACAGAGACCCAAACATCATAATTTCAGGGGCAGGTACACTGTAGATCTGGACTCTTCCCTTCAGGGGCCAATGTCTGAGGACCCTTGAGCCCATTCCCGGGATGGAAGAGTCTTGTTCTGAGCCCCTGGACACTGGACCAGGGGCCTGGCCCCGTGGGACAGGCTGATTGCTTGAGAGTAGCAAGGAAGCATTATTTCAATTGCGTAAACATTTTGAGGTACTCGGTTTGTGCCAGGCACTGTGCTAAGTACCAGGGAGTGATACAAAGTAAACAATGGGACAGTTCCAACTCTCAAGGTGCTTGTATTTCATACACACACAGATCAATCGATACAAAGTGATACATTGTATCTGTCATGTAGAGTTATTTGCTATTAGACTGTGAGCTCCTTGAGGGCAGGAACTTTGTATCCCCAGAGTTTAGTACAACACCTAGCACATGGCAGGTGCCTAATGAGCTGCTACAGGGTGGGTGCCACAGTTCAGAGAGCTCTGGGCCTGGAGACAGGAAGACGAGTTCAAATCAGCCCTTAGATTCTTTCTAGCTGTTTGACCCTGGGTAAGTTACTTAACCTCTGTCTACCTCAGCCTCCTCAACTGTAAAAAAGGGTTAATAATAGCACCTAAATAGCAGGGTTGTTGTGAAGATCAAATGAAACAATGTTTGGAAAAAAGCACTTAGCACTGTGCCTGGACTGTAGCAGATACTCAGTAAATGCTTATTCCCTTTCTTTTCCCCTTCCTTAGTAAATGCTTCTTGACCGGCAATGAAAGAGAGCGTGTTGTGGTGAATAGGGCACTGGACCTGGAGTCAGGAGAGACCTGGGTTCAAATCCTACATCAGATACTTACTAGCTGTGTGAACCTGAATAAGCTATTTATCCTCCCTGGGACTTAGTTTACTCATCTGTCAAATGGGCACAATAACAGCACCTACTTTACAGGGTTGCAGTGAGATCCAATAAGATATTATGGGATGTTCCAAAAGTCTTAGTGCAGCCTAAAACTTTAATAACTTCAGAAGCATAAATGCTACGAACTTATGAAGGTGTCATTTGAAGTTTTAATTATTTGATTTTTTTATCCTTACTTATTTCAAATCAAAAATTTTTAATTCTAGCAAGATGGGGCACCCCCTTCCTTATGCACTGTGTGTGTGGCAGTTTGGGGAGGCCGTGTTCTTGGATCTGCATACAGACAGAGGAGGGCCACTAATTCGGTCCCCTGACCCATAGTCATTAGACTTTTTCTTGGAGGGTAGTGTCAAAACTGACCTACTCACTGAAACCTCATTGTTCTAGGATTACAAATGCCATCCTTTCAGATACTGAGCAACAGCTGATGAAGGTTTTTTTTTTTACGAAGTTCTAGTTGCCTGGAATGTTGTATAGTGCAAGGCAGTGGTTAGGTTGGACTTTAATAAGAAACATATTAACATTTTAAAATTTCATTAATTTCTCTTTAAAATGTTGGCTTTTGAAGTTTGTAGCATTTATACTTCTGAAGGGATCGAAGCTTCAGACTGCACTCAGACTTTGGGGATGGACCGTGTGTATAAGGCAGGAACATTGTCCAGGAGAGCATTACAGAAATGTCAACTGTTATTCAGAAGGGGGTGGGCACTACCATGGAGGAGGCTCTCGAAGGGGCAGAGGTGAGAAGGGAAGCATTCCAGGGGCATCTGGGAACTGACTCATGCCCCTCCGGGCTGCACTCTGGGTTTCTTCCATCTCATCCTGAAGCCCCACTCCAGTGCTGGAATTCACACAGTGAAAATCTCCTCTGTTCCTGCCTCTGCTGGGAGGGCTCCTCCCCAAAGCTCCATTTACGTCGGGTGCCCAGGCCAGCCAGCTCTCATTCCTCTCCAGGCCACACTCAGAACATCTAGCGTGGCCCCAGCTGGGTACCCTGGCATCCCCTACCCCTTTTGGCTTCCTTTTAAAATTAGAATGTAAGCTGTTTGAGGGCAGGGTCTATCTGTCTTTCTACTTGTATCAGTGTCTGACACACAGCAAGCACTTAATAAATGCCAGCTAGCTGACTGTGGCAACAGACTGTGCAAAAGCCAAGAGGTGGGGGATGACAGAGGGACCCAAGCATGCCATTCTGATCGGAATGGAGAGTGTGCTAAGGGGAGTAACAGGCAATAAGACTGCAAAGGAAAGTGGGAGTAGAGAGGGTCCAAGGCATTTCCTGTGACTGCTGTCTTCTCAGGAGTAGCCTAGGGGGAGCCACAAGTATTTTATCCTGAGGGCAGTAGGGAGCCACTGAAGATGTTGGAGAAGGGGAGCAGCATGGACAAGTCCATGTTTTAGGAAAATTATTTGGGCAGTTTGTGGAGGATGACTGGAAGCAGGGAGGCCATGGGGCATCCTCTGGTGGAGTGACCCATGACACTCTCATCCTCAGCAAAGGGAGGAAGCATCCTTGAGAACTGGCCTAAGAAAGGATAGGCAGACAAGTCTCCATTTAAGTCGGTACATTTGGTGGGAAAATTGAACTCACCAGACACAGAACAGAATGAGCGTCACCTTCCGGAGCTGCCGGTGCTGGAACAGGTCCAGAGCATTTCCCTTGGGTCCTTTCTTCTCTGGAGTTAGCTGCAGGGGAGACAGACAGTCAAGCGACCATCAGACTTGGCGCATTAGCCCTCCGCCCCTAGAATGGAAGCCCAGCAGACTTTGCTCCGCTACGTGCAATGAACCTGGTCGAGGGTCTCAGAAGACACGCCACGTTTGTTTATCGAGGCTGCTTTCTGGATCAGTTCCTTGGCCTCCTCCACTCTGCCTTGGGTCAGGAGCCACCTTGCAGATTCAGGAAGCACCCTGTGGGACAGAAGGAAGAGGAGGGAGCTCTTCAGGGATTTTCCCATTGCCCTCGCCCACAGCCCCATCACTGGGACGCAAGGCCGAGGTAGTAAGGCTCTTGGGGTGGGAATTCTGTGTCCCTCCCAGAAGGGCCTGGGGTGAAGGCTGGGGAATGTGGTAGAGAGCATCGCTCCCTCTTGCTCCCAAAGCCATCAGCTCCTCCCAGGCTGGGCCATGAGGGGAGGGGCAATAAAGGGGGAAGGGGGAAGAAATGTCATGGCAGGGGTTTAGAGGAGTAGCGGGAGAGGAATACATACATGATAATCAGGGCCAAGCTGCAGACCACGCTCTGTGGCCTTGGGCATCGTTTTATCTCTCTAGGCCTCACAAGAAGGGGAACACCTGCTCTCATTCCTTCCCAGTAGGGCTATGATGAGCCATTTCAAAAGTCCCTCTGAGCACTAGGAGTCCATGGTTAATTACAAAGTTAATTACAGGCTCTGCACTGATGTGAAGCATCAACATGAGGGTAAGCTCCTTGAGGGCTGGCATTAATTCACTTTTGTCTGTCTCCCCAGTGCCTAGCACCATGCCTGGGACATCAAAAGTGCTTAATAAATGCTTGTTGCATTATTACTGATTTCACTGGCCAAAGACTGCGAGTAGAGCCCTGGACGTGGAGTCAGGAACTTGTTGGCTGTCCATCAGTCATTTTGCAGTCACGTAAGACTCTTCCTGACCCCATTTGGGGTTTTCTTGGCAGAGATACGGGAGTGGTTTGCCATTTCCTTCTCCAGCTCATTTTAAAGAGGAAGGAACTGAGACAAACAGTGTTAAGTGACTTGCCCAGGGTCACACAGCTAGGAAGTGTCTGAGGCCAGATTTGAATACAGGAAGACTCATCTTCCTGACTCCAGGTCTGGGGCTTTATCCACTGCGGTGCCTCCTAGCTGCCCTTGACCCGCATATACTTGAGTCCAAAAGTGTGGTGGCAGGTTATAGGAAGAAGGAAAAAAGGGGCAGAGGGGATCATTGGGACAGGGGAGTGAGAAGCAAATGTGGGAGGGACAGCAGAGCTGAGCTAAAGGGTGCGGAGGGGACATGGGGCCCACCCAGCGTGGGGGAGGGTGCTGGGGACCATGCCCTTGCTCACCACCAATAGAAGAACAGTAGTAACATAGGGGACGTGCCCACGATCTGTAATAGCCTCCAGTTTCGAAATCCATAGGCCAGGCCGGCCAGGGCCATCTGCCCCAGTGAGAAGCAGCATTGGCAGATGACTACAGTATGAGTCCTCCTGGAGGCACTGACCCACTCTGTGCCTGGGGAGAAGAGAGAGAACACGAAGTTTAGATGGAAACCGGTCTGAGAGATCTGTCCCAGCCTCCTGCGCAGGGCAGGACACAAAGAGCATCCCTTCGTCCTTCCATTTAGGACCTTCCCCCTCAGACGGGCTTCCATTTACTTTGCTGGCTGCCTGCCATCTCCCCCTGTAGAGTGGAAGGGCAGGGACTCTGTGTCTTTCTTTGTGTTTCCAATGCTCAGCACAGTGCCAGGCACATAATAAGTACCTGTTAATAATGCTTTTTGACTGATTGAGATTACCCTTCATTTTCATTGTGTATTCACACATATGTGTGTGCACACACATCACACACGTGTGTGCACACACATCACACACATGTGTATGTACACATGTATGTATACATATATACATGTATACACAGTATACACATATGTACACATATATTTTCTTTCT